GAGTTCTGTAGCCTGGAAAACAATCAAAATACTGGGAGATCTCCAGGCCACACCTGGAGGTTGGCAACATTAGAACTGGCAAGCAAAGCATGAAGGTCCTTCCTTGCCCGCTGTCCACAGGTTGAGATATCCTGCCTCTGAACGTGGAGGCTCCATTTCGGTTGTCATAGCTATTGTTAGATTGGGGCCACGGTGGCTTAGAGGTTAAGACGCTGAGCTGCAGACTGGAAGGTTGGGAGTTCGGCAGTTCGAGACCTGAGTGCCGCGTGACGGAGTGAGCTCCCATCTCTGGCCCCAGCTCCTGCCAGCCTAGCAGTCCGAAAGCAAGAAATTGCAAGTAGATAAAGAGGTACCGCTTTGGTGGGAAGGTCACAGCGTTCCGTGCCGCCTCGGCGTCTAGTCATGCCGACCACATGACCACGGAAACATCTTCGGACAGCGCTGGCTCTTCGGCTTTGAAACGGAGATGAGCACCGCCCCCTAGAGTCGGATTCGACTAGCTTTCAAGCAGGGGAAACCTTTAGCTACTGTTACACCTATTATTTTTAAAGAATGGAAACAGACTGGTACAGATGATCCAAAGTACGGTTTTCCACCACACCCATTTCCCGACAGGCAAAACACAAGTCCCTGTTTCATGCTGGTGCATTTTCTTCATATAGGGCTATTAATAGTGGGAGGATGGAAGACTGGTGATGCAAAACTGAAGCAGAGTTATACCCGTCTAAACCTGCTGGCTTCAGTGGGCCTAAAAGGGTGTGGCTCCACTTTGGAGAGGGGAGAGACAAGAACAGCGGCTTTAAAGATTAAAAAAAATACCTGGGGGGATCTAGAGAGCTCCTTATGTGTTTATGTTCGCAACTGCAGCCCTGTCCTATGGTAGAGAATTTAATATAAGAACTTAGAAACCCTGGGAAAAAACCTTCTCTCTCCGCCCGACTCTGGAATCCCTTTCTCCTGGAAGCTAATTCGGTCTTCTGGGAGTTGTGCCAAAGTTTAGTCCACCATTTGGTGGCCCGAGAAAGGGAAAAGATCAATGCAACTGAGGTGTGTGTGTGTGTATCAATAACAACTGCTATTGTATTTATTTTTATTTACATCCTTTATAGTCTCCCTCCCTCACTGTAACTCAAGTCAATGCCATCAACAGGATGGGATGTCCAATAAACAATGCAACTGCATCTGGACTGTAGGAATCGGGAGCCAACTTGAAATCTGAGGCAGAACTGAAGCAAAGCGTAAGCATTTACATGACATATTGAAACAATGCAAAAAATTAGATCGCAGGAGCCGATTTACAGCAATAGACGGTACAAACGGCACACAGTAGTACAGACTAGGGTCCCTATCTCTTTACCCAAGTGCCTCTGTCAGACAAAGGCTATTAACAGACCAAAATAAATAGCACTTTCCCACGGACTTCCTGTCTGGTTAATGTAAACACAGACTCTGCCAATCCAGTATCCAGCAGGAGGCCGGCCATAAGGTGTAGTTGCAACATTCGAGCGTATGTCTTCTCTCTGTGATCTTAATTCCCGGGAAGAAACGTATGAGAGAAGACGGGCCTTCAGATATACCGGTCCCAACCCATGTAGGGCTTCAAAGGTCAAAACCAGCACCATGAATTGGGCTTCATAGTGGATCAGTAGCTAGTGCGATTGCTGGAGAACTGGGGTCACATGTTCCCAGTAGCTGGCCTCAAACAGCAGTCTAGCCAGAACATTCTGTTCTAGCTATCGCTTCCAGACACTCTTCAAGGGTAGCCCCAAGTACAGCACATTGCAGTAGTCCAGTCTAGATGTAACTAAGGCATGGATGACTGTGGCTAGATTCTGACTGAACCAGGAATAGGCACAGCTGAGCCACCAGCCAAAGCTGAGCAAAAAGGACCTCCTGATGGCACCTGGTATTTTTGGCCACTGTGTGACAGAGTGTTGGACTGGATAGGCCATTGGCCTGATCCAGCATTGGCTTCCCTGATGCTCTTAAAACCATTCTGAGCCACCACGGCCACCTGTTTTTTTCTAAAGTGACTGCTGTGTCAAGCAGTGTTCTCAGTCTGCAAACTTGGGTTTTCCAGGGGAGTATCACCCCATCCATTATTCAGCACACAGCTATTCCTGTCTTATTGGCTTCTCAGTGGAAGAAGCTGCCTGTGGAGCTCCTTTAAAAATAAGCCAGTCTGCATAATGGAGCTAACACTGTGCCCTTTCCAAGGTGCTGATTTCCTGTGCAAGGTACCTGAGACGGGAAGCACCGCTACACTCCCGTTTCTCTACTCTTCAGGCTTGCTTGCCTGGACTAGCCGCCGTGCCTGTGCAGGTACTGCCCTGTAGGCAATAGAATTAGTCTTTCATTGCTCCTTTTATTTTCCAAGTGCAATTCCTCCAACCATTCCAACACAGCAGGCAAAGTAAGTCTGCCTGCATTGCCTTGAACATGGGGTACAAACACTTTGGACTTTTAAAACCTACCCTCTTTCTCAGGTCACTTTGAACTGTGGAGGTTCACGATCTCATAGAATCAGAGAATCACAGAGTTGGAAGGGGCCGTCCCTGCTCAATGCAGGGTCAGCCTAGACTGAGCATCCCTGACCAGTGTTTGTCCAGCTGCTGCTTAAAGACTGCCAATGAGGGGGAGCTCACCACCTTCCCAGGGCAGCTGATTCCACTGCGGCACAGCTCTGAGTGTCAAAAAGGTTTTCCTAAGATCCAGCCAGCCAGTTTGGTGTAGTGGTTAAGTGCGCGGACTCTAATCTGGGAGAACCGGGTTTGATTCCCTACTCCTCCACTTGCACCTGGCTGGATGACCTTGGGCAAGCCATAACTCTGGCACAGCTGTTCTTGAAAAAGAGCAGTTTCTGTTAGAGTTCTCTCAGCCCCAACTATCTCACAGGGTGCCTGTTGTGGGGAGGGGAAGGGAAAGGAGTTTGTAAGGCACTCTGAGACACCTTTGGGTAGTGAAGGGCGGGGGTAGAAATCCAATCTCTTCTCTTCTTCTTCTACCTTCCAGCCCTTAATTTAAACCCATGATTGTGAGTCCTCTCCTCTGCTGCCAACAGGAACAGCTCCCTGTCCACCTCTAATTGCCAGCCCTATCAAATATTTCAAGAGAGCATGTCAGCAGTGTTCCCTCTAAGCTGAGTGAGTGTGAGCTAGCTCACAGTTTTTTAGCCTCCAGCTCACAGATTGTTGTCCTAGCTCAGGAAGGATGGGGCTCCAGAGCAAACCGATTTATGCAGCAGCCCAATCGCTCGCTCACAACTTTAATGCCAGGAGCTCACAGAGTTGAATTCTTGCTCAGAAGACTCCGCAGCTTAGAGGGGGCATTTTCATGTCCCCCCTCCACCTCCTCTTCTCCAGAATGAACATCCCCAAGAAGTCCCTCAGCCTTTCCTCCCAGGGCTTCTTGGTCTCCAGGCCCCCGATCCTCCTCGTCGCTCTCCTCTGCACCCCCGCTCCATTCTGTCCACACCCCTTTTGAATTGAGGCCTCCAGAACTGCCACACAAGACTCCAGGTATTTAGAACAGGGGTCCCCAACGTGCACTTGCTGACGCCTTTCCTGGAGCCCACCAAGTGTTTTTAGAAAGCGGGTGAGGCCAGATGCACATTTTGCCAAGCAAGGGCTCTGACTGGCCACTGGAGATTTGGTAGGCTGTGCAGGTTTTCAAAAAGGGTTGCTTTGGCAGCAGCTGCCACCACAGCACAAGGATTTCTGCTATGTGGCTGAAGGGAAGCCGTGGCGGCCATTTTTTGTGGATGGCTCCACCCCCTGCAGCAGCCATTTTTTGGCAGCTGTTTTGTGGCACACTGTGTCAGAATTTCAAAGGTGCTCACGGGTTCAAGAAGGTTGGGGACCCCTGATGTACAAGAAACAAATTAGGGCGCATGCTGCCTGACTCCTCATCCCAGTTCCTATATGCAGGGCCCCTCCCCTATGGGAGAATAGCCTTTTAGACTGGAATGTGAGGAGAGGGAATAGAATTCCCTCTATAGCAGCATTATTTCCGTATGTACCATATTAAGCAAGAGTGACTCACACCACAGAAGGATGATTTGTGGAGAGCCTGACTTTAGCTGCGTTCTTTATTGATCACATCCTCTCTCCATCGGCATCTAAAGAGGAAGGTTTCTTAGTCTTTTATGCATTATACTATCTGCCAGATTGGGAAGTTCTGCTCCCTGCCCCACAGAGAATCCTAACATTCATTTTATCTTCTGCACCCTGCAAGAGAGAAGCCTCCCAAACTGGGAGAAAATCCCCCGCAAGGATCCCCGTTCCTCCACCCCAAAGGTAATCAGGAAGAAGCTCGATGCCCACCACGGGGCCACCCCAAATGGCCTGCTCTCTCTGGCCTTCTTCCAATCCACCATATAAGGTGTGAAATCGTTTTGGAAAAAGGAGAAGGCGTATTTTTAGCATGGCACGGGTGACTATGGAGGAGAGACTCACAGGGTGCAGAATCCTTTGGGGACTGTGAAAGGGGAGTATTCGTTTGGAGAAAGGCTCACAGGGGAGGAAAACTTGGGGATTACATTTAATTTAAAGGGGAGAAGGATTATGACAGGGGAAAGCAAAGTTTGAGTCCAGTGGCACCTTTAAGACCAACAAAGTTTAATTCTGGGTACAAGTTTTCACGTGCATGTCTTCAGATTCTTAACGGGAACTATGAATAGAGATAACGGCATGTGTGTGGCATGCTATTATTTAGTTTAAGCACTGCCTGTTTTAGCCTTTTGTTACTGTCCATGGGGTTTTCTTGGCAAAGATACTGGAGTGGGTTGCCATTTCCTTCTCCGGTGGATCACACTTGGTCTGAGTTCTCTGCTGTGGCCTGTCCGTCCTGGGTGGCCCTCCACGGCATAGCCCACAGCCTCATCGAACCACGCAAGCCCCCTCGCCACGCCATGAGGGACTGAACAACAACTGCCCGTTTATCATTTAGCATCGGCACGGAGGGAGCAATATTTGCAGATGGGAGAAATAAGAACATTTTTGAAGGAAGTCACTATAAAGGTAAGGATCAGACATGTCTTTTCCAAATCCATGATGCAATTTTGTTGTCGAGCATCGTTTAAAAGTTGGCACCTGTGAGCTGCCGATTTTCGTCCGCCCTTCCCTTTGGCATCCTGCCTCTGAGTCATTATTTTAAATCGCAACCTGGCCCCAGTGCACTTTCGATGAAAGGGCGGCGCAGATTAATGGAAGTGAGTTGAGAAATAAAATAAAGGGGGAAAGCAGGAGCTACCTGAAGAGGGCCCGACCTGGATGGGCCAGGCTTGCCCAATCCTGTCAGACCTCGGAAGCTCAGCAGGGTCAGCTCTGATTAGTGCTGGAAAGGGAGACCACCAAGGAAGCCCAGGGTGGCTATGCAGAGGCAGGCAAGGGCCAACCACCTCTGCTCCTCTCTGTCCTCCTGACCTGGATGGGCCAGCCTACCTGATCTCGTCAGATTTTGGAAGCTCAGCAGGGTCAGCCCTGGTTAGTAGGGAAGAAGAAGAAGAGAAGAGATTGGATTTATACCCCGCCCTTCACTGCCCAAGGATGTCTCAGAGCAGCTTACAAACGCCTTTCCCTTCCCCTCCCCACAACAGGCACCCTATGAGGGAGGTGGGGCTGAGAGAGCTCTGACAGAAACTGCTCTTTTTCAAGAACAGCTCTGAGAGAATTATGGCTTGCCCGAGGTCATCCAGCAGCTGCAAGTGGAGGAGTGGGGAATCAAACCCAGCTCTCCCAGATTAGAATCCGTGCACTTAACCACTAAAATGAAGAAGAGATTGGATTTATACCCCGCCCTTCACAACCCAAAGGTGTCTCAGAGCGGTTTACCATCTCCTTTCCCTTTCCCTCCCCACAACAGACACCCTGTGAGATATGTGGGGCTGAGAGAGCTCTTTCGAGGACGGCTCTTGAGAGAACAGCTCTGAACTTGTGACTGACCCAAGACCACCCAGCTGGCTGCATGTGGAGGCATGGGGAATCAAACCCGGCTCTCCCAGATTAGAGTCCGCGCACTTAACCACGACACCACACTGGTTCTAAGGGGAGACCACCAAGGAAGCCCAGGGTGGCTATGCAGAGGCAGGCAATGGCCAACCACCTCTGCTCCTCTCTGTCCTGACCTGGATGGGCCAGGCTACCTGATCTTGTCAGTTTTTGGAAGCTCAGCAGCAGGGTCAGCCCTGGTTAGCATTTGGAAGGGAGACCACCAAGGAAGCCCAGGGTTGTTGTGCAGAGGCAGGCACTGGCAAAACCACCTCTGAATTACGGTGCAGACAGTGGGGCTTGGACTTGGAGACAACATTTTGGAGAATTTTTAAAATAGACATATTCATTCATTCATTTTAATAGTGCCTCATTTGGAGACTCTGTTTCCTATCATCCCCCTCCCCACCCCCGGAAGGGGTTACCCGCTCGCCCCCCCCCCCCACAGCCACATGGGGGGTAAAATGAGGGTTCCCCCCGCCCTTCCCAAAATGGTCTCTCCTTCCCCTTTAAAAATTAAAAAAGGCTTCCCCCCCGCCGCCTCCTCAGAGTTGGCCCGTTCCGCGCGTGCCCGCGAGAGCGCGCCCCCTCTCTGCCGCTCACCTCCGCGCGGGCACTCCGGCCCCGCCCTCCTCCTTCGGGCTACCCGCCGCCGCCCCCGGCAGAAGCTCCGTCCAGCCGCCGGACGGGAAGGCGAGAAAAGGAGCGGGCGGGCGCGCACACCGTCAAGTCCCCACGCGCGCCGAGGCTCGGCGCCCGCCCGCCCTCATTTCTTTTTGTTGGTTGCCGGGACGCGCTGACGTCTTCCGTCGCGTCGTCGCTTCTCCGTCCCGCTTCCAAAATGGGGCCGAAGCCGACGTCGTGCCCAACAGTCATTGCCTTCCTTCCGGTTGCTGTGGCGCCGTTGCCTAGAGACCGTCACCCCCTCCCACGCTATCCCAGGGAACCTGCCCGCTTATGAATAGTATTAATTTATGAGCATGTTAATTGGCGATCCTGTTTCCACTAGTAGTTATATGTTGATGTTCCTTAGAGACCAACAAGCCCCTTAGAGACCAACAAGAATTTGGGGGGGGGGGTGATCTTTGGAGACTCAGAGCTCCCTTCGATTTATTGTACCTGAGGAAGGGGCGGGGCCGCAGTGTTCCCTCTAAGCTGCGTTAGTGTGAGCCACCTCGCAGGTTTTTTTAGCCTCCAACTCACAGATTTTTGCCTTCGCCCAGGAAGGAGGGCTCCAGAGCGAAGTGATTTATGCAGGAGCCCAATCGCTCGCTCACAATATTAATGCCAGGAGCTCACCAAATAGAATTTTTTGCTCACAAGACTCCACAGCATAGAGGGAGCAATGTTCCCTCTCAGCTGAGTTAGTGTGAGCTAGCTCACAGTTTTGTAGCCTCCAGCTCACACATTTTTGCCTTGGCTCAGGAAGGATGGCTGTAGAGCAAACTAATTTATGCAGTAGCCAAATCGCTCGCTCACAACTTTAATGCTGGTAGCTCACAAAGTACAGTTTTTGCTCACAAGACTCTACAGCTTAGAGGGAGCAGGCCCTGAATTCTTAGACCCCAGTGATCTCTGCGGTGCTACTTGACTTGAATCTAGCTCTTCTACTGCAGACCAACACGTGCGCACTCTGAAAATATCTGTAAAGTCCCTTTATTGTAAGTTAAAACTTAGCCTTTATCTAGCTCATTTAAGTCCTTCAGGTACATTTTCATAGTGACCCCATAGCACCGCTGTGAGGAAGGCCAGTATTATTTTGTTCCACAGTGTGGGTTGCCTGATTTACATATATATATATATA